TTTTTTTTTTTTTTTTTTGAGACAGGGTTTCTTCGTGTACCAGGCTGTCCTGGAACTTAAGACCAGGCTGGCCTCGAACACAGAGATCCACCTGCCTCTGCTTCCTGGGTGCCGGGATTAAAGGCCTGTGCCACAATACCCAGGTCACTCTTTTCTAAACAACTGTTGAGCCCCTGCTGTGGGGTCTTCCATCCTGAGGAGAGATTCCAGAGAGCTGGCTTCCAGCTGGTGGTCAGAATCTCCAGACTGGAGATGTGGGTGATCTTAACAGGGGTTCCTGACCCAGTCAGGACCTCTAATCCTTAGAAGTCAGAACGCAAAGGAAATATGGAGCACGAGGATTATGAAAAGGTCCTGTGAGACAGGAAAACAGAGGGAGGGAGTGTCCCACATCAGAGAATGTTCCGGAAATGGGTTCCAATTTGTCTAGGTGCTGTTCCCATTTCTTAGAGCCAAGTGATTTAAAACAACACATACATATTCTCAGAGTTTGAGAGGCTAGGAGTTTAACATCAAAGTGCCAGGTCTCACCCTCTCCTGGCCCGTGTGTGTGTGTGTGTGTGTGTGTGTGTGTGTGTGTGTGTGTATCGATAAATACTTTCCTTTGGAGGCAGGGTCTCTCACTGACCTGGAACTTACTAAGGACACTAGGTGTTAGCTCGCTAGTGAGCCCCAGGAACAACTCATTTGTCTCCATCTCCCAAGTGCTGGGATTATAAACGTGCATCACCCTATCTGGCTCCTCCCCGACTTTTGAGATAAGGTCTCACTATGTAGCCCTGGCTGTCCTGGGACTCACTATGTAGACCAGACAGATCCTCCGCCTCCGCGTGGGCCGCCACAGGTGGCGGTATCAGCACTCGGGCCCTGTGTTTCTTGGCAAGCACTGTACTGACTGAGTCATCTCCACAACCTCCCAGCCTTGGCTGCTTCCAGGTCTTCCTGGGTTTGTGGCTTTAAATCTGCTCTTAGCTTTGGTCTCCTCTCTCCTGTGTGTCCCTTATGACACCCATCACTAGATGCTGGCCTTAGGTAACCAGGGATGATCTCACCTTGAGTCCTAATCATGGCTGCAAACACCCCTTTTATAGATCTGGTCACCTTACAGGTTCCAGGACCAGGGAGTGGACACAGCTTTGGTGGAACGACATCATTTAACCCACCCAGGTCGGATGAGTGGAGGAAGCGGGTACAGCGGCCTCTGGAGAGAGTGACGGGTAGGGTGGGCAGTCAGCAAGCAGGCCTAGCCATAGGAGCAAGTGGATGGCGGCCAGGATTCTGCTGTGGTGTAGCCATTTCCTCCCAGCTGAAGCATTCTCTCCTGCAGGGAGGAAGAGGCTCCTAAGACTTCAAAACAGAGCTGGAGAGATGGCTTAGCAGTTAAGAGCACATGCTGTTCTTTCAAAGGACTGGAACCTGGTTCCCAGTACACATTCCAGGCAGCTCACTACCCGCAACTCCTCTCCTGGGGGATCCGACACCCTCTTTTGGCCTCCACAGGTGCTGCATTTAAGTGCACAGACATACATCTATATAATTAAAAGCAACATAAACGTCAAAAGAAGAGGCCCTTCCAGGAGGAGTAAGCAGTAAGTGCTTCACGGACGCAGCTTTTGTGAGTCTTCACCATGCTGGGATGTTCTTTTCTGTGCCGCGGCAGCTCAGCACTCACCCACGGCCCCGTAAGGAGCCCCCTTCTTACGCTCAGCAGGCTCACCAGCGCCACAGCTCGGCCTTGGGTGGAACTGCTCCTTGGTGCAGTGTTGGCCCTCTGTCTGGGGCAAGCAGACTGTGTTCACATCTTCCAAGAAGAGCCATGCAACAGCCATGCACTCAAGTGAGCTCCTGCCACACCTGCTCCTGTGGGGAGACGAGGGGGAGACCTGTGTCACAAGACGCCAGTTACACAGCCTTGGTCGCTCTTTCTGGAACCCACCATCTCAATGGGCAATCTCTTCAGGGTCTCTCTTTGTAGCCCTGGCTGTCCTGGAACTCGCTCTGTAGACCAAACTGACCTCTAAATCAGAGATCTGCCTGCCTCTGTCTCCTGGGTGCTGGGATTCAAGTGCCCCCATGTCCAGCTGACTCCAGGCTTTTCATGGCCAAAGGAGTTGACCTTGATGGCACTACCAAGGTCAACGGACAGGAGGCGCAAGAGAGCAGCCTGGGGTGGCCAGAGCTGCCCTTTGCCCTCACCCTCAACACGCCAGGGCCGAGGAGGCTGCCTGCTGGTGGTAACCCCCTTTCCTGTTGTCTCCTCCTGAAGGGGCACTGTAGACTCATGGAGACGGGGTGCCTTCTCGGGGAGCACTGGGTGGGGGACACTGTCTTCCCTACAGCCACCCTTACTTCCCCCACAAGATTCTTGTCCTTGGGTAGCTGAACCCAGCTAACCTCAGAGCGGAAGAAGAGGCAAATCTTGTGGAATGGAGAGAGCCGGAGGCAGACTCAGTGTCACAGCGACCGCCCAGCACCGCGATGCAGTCCACTCGGCAACTTCACGTTGAGAGCTGAGACACAAATATGTGCTGTGTTTGGGGGAATATGGTGGGCTGAGGAAACCTCAGAATAATAAAAGGAAGGCCTTAGGAAGGGGCTTGGGCCAGAGCTGGCCAGGGGTCCATATGCAATTTCCATGTGAGGCCAAGGTTGGGGGTGCTGGGGAAGGGGGGCACCTTAGAGGCAAGTGTCTGAGGGGCAGGCAGTCTTTCATCCTGGGGTTACACATGGCTTTTTGTTTTGTTTTCTGAGGTAGGGTGGCTAGCCTGGAACAGGCCATGTAGACCAGGCTAGCCTTGAGCTTGTAGCGATCCTTCTGCTCCCGAGTGCTGGGATGACAGGTGTGTGCACCCCACACCCAGCTGTTATCCTAACCAATGGCCGATGGCATGGCACCTTTCATGTGAACGAATGAATGAGGATGAAATGAACCATTCCTGCTGGCCTTCGTGGGGCCAGCAGCAGCTACACCAGCAAATACGTGGTCCACCTACCCCTTCCCTGGGCCTGGCTGACCTTGAGATCGGAGAGCGCAGGGAGAAAAGGAAGGAGAGGAAGGGAGTATTCCCATTGTCACCAAGAGCAGGAGAGAAGCCCGAAGCATGGGGGCAGGGGAAACAAACCGAAGTGGAGTCGGATTTAGAAAGAACGCCTGCATCCTAGCCAAAGGCCCGGAGGGGAGTGGTCCTCCACAGTCAAGTGTGGGCAGGACAGCACGATGCTCGCTCGCTGCCTTTCAAATTGCCTGCAATAAGGCAGCGAGCCTGGAGGGGGAGGTTTATGAGCCTTGAAGCCCTGTGAGAGGTGAGAGAGAACACCATAAAATCCAGAATTGCTAGAAAGCCACAGACTCCTCCTCTGAAGCGCCAAAAATAGAAAGTGGGAAGTCAAATTAATAGCGCCGGGAGTGACAGGGGAAACGGGGCCATGTGTGCGGCTCTGCAGAGGTAGACAAGAACATCCACTTGGAACGCCTCATGAGCCAGGTGCTGCACTGAGGAAGAGCACTCATGATTTCTCTTCATCCCCGGCACAACCTGAGGAGGTGGGTCCTGTCGTCCTGTCTTCACAGTCAGGGAATGCTCTAAGTCACTGGTCCAAGACTGCCCGGGGAACAGGGGCGGGTGGAGCGGGGTGGGGGGGTAGGGAGTGGGGGGAAGGAATACACAAACGCTGGCCGGTGGGCAGGATGGCTCAGTGGGCAAAACCACTTGCCACCACGCCTGACAACGTGAGTTTGATCCTTAGGACCCACGTGGTGGAAGGAGAGAACTGACTCCTGAAAGCTGACCTCTGACCTACACACACACACACACACACACACCATGTATAAAAATGTTTTAGAGAGGGGGCTGAGAGACGGCTCGGTGGTTAAGAGTCCTCACTGCTCTGAAACTCAGAGATCCGCCTTCCTCTGCGGCCTAAGTGCTGAGATTAGAGGTGTGTGTCACCATGCCAGACAATGATAGTTATTTTTATTTTGTTATTCTCCACAAGATTTTTAAAATAATAATTATTTTATTATTATTATTATTATTGTCTTTATTTGAAGGCCAGAGGACAACTTTATGGAGTTAGCTCTGTTTTTACCTTTCTGCGGGTTCCCGAGCTCTAACCCAGTTTTTCAGGCTTATTCAGTATGTCCTTTCTTTACCCACTGACCATCTTGCCAGCCAGAGCCCAAACACACCACCATCTGCACCAGATCTCCGGCCCGTACCTAGCAACTTCTGCTGTGGTCTCTGGGGATTCAAGCCAGAGCTCAGCACACACCTTGCACCTGCTCTGCCCCTGACGGACTCGGGTCTCCCCATCCTGTCTTCTTTATAAAGAGGCGGTGCGCATAGTTGTTTATGGCATGGCACTCCCCAGGTGAGAAACAATGCCCTCTCCTTCCCACGTCCCACTGTGGAGGCCAAGTGTGGGGCCTCACAGGGGCCGTTCCAAGGCGTGACGGGTCCACAGTCATCTGGGTTCATAGTAAGAGCTCTTTCTAATGCACACCGGTGGTTTTTGCCTTCGCGTACATCTGTGCACCATGTCATACAGTGCCTTCAGGAGCCAGAAGAGGGCGTGGGGTCCCCTGGAACCAGAGTTACAGATGGTTGTGAGCCCCAATGTGGGAATCCAACCCAGGTCCTCTGGGAGAGCAGCCAGTCCTATAGACAGTTAGGCCAACTCTCCAGCCTTCTTGATTTTAAATTTTATTTATTAGGCAAACAGTGTTCTGCCTGAATGTATCCCTGCAGGCTGAAGAGGGTATCAGATTTCATTACAGATGGTTGTGAACCACCATGTGGTTGTCCAGCCTTCTCTTTAAGATTTATTTTATCTTTAATTGTGTGGGTGTGTTAGTGCAGATGCCCACTGAGGCAGGAGGCGTCTTGGTTTTTGTTTGTTTGTTTGTTTGTTTTTGTTTTCTGAGACAGGGTTTCTCTGTGTAGCTTTTGGAGCCTATTCTGAAACTCACTCTGTAGACCAGGCTGGCCTCGAACTCACAGAGATCTGCCTGCCTCTGCCTCCCGAGTGCTGGAGTATGAGGCATCTTTATCCCCTGGAGCCGAGGTTGCAGAGGCTGTGAGGTGCCTGATGTGGGTGCCGGGCATGAACTCGGTCCTCTGCCGTCTCTCCCCAACAGTGAGGACTCGAGAGGACCTCGAACTGGGTGGCGAACTGGGCAGCGGTGGCACACACCTTTAACCCTAGCACTCAGGAAGCAGAGGCAGGAGGATCTCTGTGAGTCCAAGGCCAGCCTGGTCTGCAGAATGAGTTCCAGGATAGCCAGAGCTACACAGAGAAACCGTGAGGAGGCACCAGAGATAAAGCTGCACTGAACTGGGAGCAAACCATCAACAGGCGGCTAGCAAAGGAGCTGCTGTGTGCTCAAGAAACAGCTCACCCCGGGGCCATCCCTGCACCCCTCAAGTGGAGGCAGGAGAAGCCCTTGAACCTCAGCCGTTTGAGGCCAGCTTGGGGGATGGGAACGGCGCCCATGGAGAGGGCTCTGTAAGGCACAGGACGAGCTACAGCCTAAGTTACAGCCTTGTGACCTACAGAATAGCTCCACTTCTCTGCTAAGCTCAGACACCCCACCCCAGTCTGCAGGGAAGGAATTTCCATGCTCTGTGGGCGCTGGGGCTGCCGTGGGAGCTCCTCCCACTGAGGGGCCTGAGTATCTAACTAGGCCTCAGCACCAGTCTCTCGCCAACCCGCTCTCCACCCAGGCTGTTTCCTGCCTTTTGTGTAACAGGCAAGTGGCTCAGGTGGTGGACACTGGCCCAGCTCCCCCAAAGCCCCGGTTCCATCCCCAGCACGGCATAAACCAGGTGTAGTGGGGCCCACCTGCAATCCCAGCACGAAGGAGTTGTAGGCAGGAGGATCAAAAGTTCACGGTCATCTTAGCCACAGAGAGATTCCTAGGCCCATCTGGCTGTCTCAAAAACAGAAAGCACACCAAAGACCGAAGGACAGGGACCGTTTTTACTCAATCGGCCATTTTGAAAGGACGAAGATCAAACAGCTCGGCCTTTTTCTGGGTCTGGAAGCTCAGATTTTAACCGAGCGGAACCAGGCCGGGCAGAAGTCCTGCTTCTGCAAGGTGACTCCAGAGAGGTGCTCATCTGAGGAGACAATCCAGTGCCCACGAGGGGGAGGGGCAGCCTCAGTTTCCACAAGCTTCATTTCTCCAGTGAGAGGGTGGTCTTGGCACAGGGTGACTTGTCTGTGAGACTCTGATCTTCCTGGAATCCAAGGTGACTGTGGGTTTAGAACTTGCGGCTTCCAGGGCCTAGAACAGGATGATGTAAAAACTGACACTAAAATACCTTCCTTGGTGATTCAGTTGCCCCGTGACTGATGAGCATACCCGTGTTGAGCAGGGATCTGACCCGCCACAGTCAAAGGTAGCTTACCTTCTGCTACCTTGAGGCACACGTCAAGAGTCGTTCCATGGCCTGTCACACGGCTTCCTTTACAGACTTCCAATAAAAGTCACATGCTGTGGTCTGGAGAGCCGGTTCCGTGGTTAAGAGCGTTCCCTGCTCTTGCAGAGGTTTCCAGTTCGGCTCTCAGCATTTACATGGTAGCTCACAACCGTCTGTAACTCCAGGTCCAGGGGGTCCGATGCCCTCTTCTGGCCTCCACGGGCAGTCAGCACACACATAGTGCACATACAGACATGCAGGAAAAACACGCATATGCCAAAGATAAAATGAAGTAATCTAAACCCCGAAAGGAGGCCCCTGAGCTCCTCACGTGCCCTGAGGCTGCTGGCCCACACGCCCCTCACGCTGCACAGAGGAAGGCTAAACCAGCCAGAACGCTGATCTTAGCTCAGGCCCCCATTCCAGGCTCCCAAGTTATTTTTGGACTTTGATTCTGTCATCCAGCACTTTAACTGTCCCAGTTTTCTGACATCTGAAACTTTGATTATATGTCACCCATGTCCATGTCTCCATTCAGAACACTGAGCACAAAGGATGGAGACCACAGCCCTGGCCCATGCTCCCAGATTCTTCTACACGGAAAGTGATGGATTCATGACACCATTCCTCCAAGACCCTCCCTGAGGAGCAGCTCTCTAAATCTGGCCACTGGGCTAAGAGCTGAGAGGAGAGAGAGGGAAGAAATAGGTTCTGAACCCTGAGGGCGTCCCCAACTTCTCAGAGGAAACAGATGTGGTAACATCCACAGTATGATTCAGCTCACACTCTGCTTTGAGGACCCGTCCCTCCCGGATTCTCTCCCTGCCCCCAAGCTAGAACACAGTAGAAGAACACTGACTCCCGAACAGTGTCCTCTGACCTCCACACGTGCATTCTATTCCCATGGCACTGGTTTTTGGTTTGGTTTGGTTTTTGGTTTTTCGAGACAGGGTTTCTCCGTGTAGCCCTGGCTGTCCTGGAACTCACTCTGTAGACCAGGCTGGCCTTGAACTCACAGAGATCTGCCAGGCTCTGCCTCCCGAGTGCTGGGATTAAAGGTGTGCGCCACCACTGCCTGGCACATGATTGTTCTTACACATATCCTACACACACACACACACACACACACACACACACACACAACTTTTAAAAGAAAATAGAGGGCTCGAGAGTCCTCAGCAGGTAAGAGGATATGCAGCTCTTGCAGAGGACTGGAGTATGGTTCACAACTGCCTGCAACTTGAGCTCCAGAGAATCCAACTCTCTGCTGACTTCTATGGGCACTTAACGTAAGTGCACACACACACACACACACACACACACACACGAACACACATACACACAAACACACATACACAGGAACACACACACAGAGGAACATGCACACATACATTCATAAAAATAAAGTAAATCTTTAAAAAGAAATTAATAAAAAATATTCAGCTGGGTGTGATGGCATATACTTTAATGCCAGCACTTGAGAAGCCAAAGCAAATGGATCTTGTGAGTGGGAGGCCAGCCTGGTCTACATAGTGAGTTCCAAGCCAGTCAGGATTATACATGAGACCCTGTCTCAAATAATAACAAAAATTTTAAAAGAAAGAAAAATACTGAGAGAGAAAAGGAAGGAAGGAAGGGGTACTGGGGAGATGGATCAGTGGTTATAGCTCTTACCACACAAGTGGAAGAACCAGAGTTTGGACCCCTAGGTGTTGCATGAATTCTAATTGGTCTTATAGTAAAAAACCCGGAGTCAGATATTGGGGTAAATGCCGAAAGATCAGGGAGACAAAGGAACAAGCACTAGAGAAACTTCTCACCGCTACCAAAGCCTCAGACCGAAGGGAAGGCGAGATTCTATCTCCACAAATCCTGTCTGCAAGCCTCTGAGGCCTCAGCCGAAAAGACTCTAGTTTCCTCACACCTTACATGCCTTCCTCCACCCAACCATCTCACTTCCTTCCTAGTGCTGGGACTAATGGCGTGTGTGCACTTCCCAAACACTGAGGTTACAGGTGTGAGAGCTCAAGTGCTGGGATTAAAGGCGTGTGAATCCCAAATACTGGGATTTAAGGTGTGTGCCATCACTGCCTGGCTCTGTTCTCTCCTAGACTGATCAATCTCATGTAGTCCAGGGTGGCTTTGAACTCACAGAGATCCAGACGGATCTCTGCCTCCCCGAGTGCTGGGATTAAAGGTGTGTGCCACCACTGCCTGGCCTCTATGTCTAATCTAGTGGCTGGCTCTGTCCTCTGATCCTCAGGCAAGCTTTATTTGATAGACAATATATCAAGATGGCGCCCCCCACCCCGAGCTGCGCGGGCAAGCTCTGGGTTGACTGAGAGACCTGCCTCAGTGAGTGAAAGGGCAGAAGTTGAGGGTGACCTGACATCAACCTTGGGGCTCCACATGCATGCGCCTATGGACACACAAGTTCACCACATGTGTGTAACACACACACACACACACACACACACACACACGAGTGAAAGTAGAAAATGAAGGAAGCAAACAAAGGAGAATTATGTAAACTTATTTTAAATTTTTGTCTGTAAATGGTTAAGTGTGTGAGGGCAGATGCAGAAGAGGGTGTCGGCTCCCGAGGTCCGAAGGGTCGGCTATGAGCTCCTGGCTTGGCTGCCACAATCCCACCCTGCTCTTCTAGAAGTGCTCTTAACCTCTGTGCTCGCTCACTCTCTGGGTCCCGTATTTGTTCGTTTGTTTTCTGTTTATTTGACACAGAGGCTCAAATAAACTTCAATCAAACTAACTTCAGCTCGGGCTCCTGCTGCCGCAGCCTGCGTGCTGGGGTCACAGGCTGGGGTCACAGGAAGGGGTAACAGGCTGGGGTCACAGGCTGGGGTCACAGGCTGGGGCCACAGGCTGGGGTCACGGGCTGGTGTCACAGGCTGGGGTCACAGGCTGAGGTCACAGGCTGGGGTCACGGGCTGGTGCCATCACACATCCTACCTTGTGCCAGAAGAAAAAGGAATGGTAGAGGAGGAAGAAAGGATGGAAGGAAGGAAGGATGGATCCAGTTTATATGACATGACTAATTTAGAAAAATATAATATTTATTTTTTGAGACAGGGTCTCATACAACCTGGGCAAGCCTCTCAAACTTGCTGAGCTTGGAATGTGGCCAAGACTGACATGAGCTTCTGATCCTGTGCCCACCTTCTGCGTGTGGGGTACAAGGGAATGCAACCACACAGGATTGTGTGGTGCTAGGATGGAAGTCAGGACTTCCCACAGGATGAGCAAGCCCTCTGCCAACTGCTTGAAAGACAAAATGGTCTCCTATTTTAGAGATTTATTTTGGGAGCCAGAGAGAGGCTAAAAGGCTAAGGGCACTTACTGCTCTCCCGGGTTCAGTCCCCAGCACACACATGGCGGCTCACAACCATCTGTTACTCTATTTCCAGGGGATCCCAAACTCTCTTCTGACCTCTGAGTGTACGACATACACATGTGGTACACACGCATGCATGCAGGGAACACTTGATACGTGTAAAGTCAATCTAAAAAAAATTAAAAGCAGAACAAAACAAAAACACAGGCAGAGGCAGGAGGATCTCTGGGAGTTCCAGTTCATCCCGGTCTACATGGCAAGACTCAGGCCAGCCAGGGTCACACGGTGAGACCTTGTCTCGAAACAAAGCAATAGCAAGGGGCCGCAGAGACGGCTCAGTGGGTGAGAGCTTACTGTTCTTTTTGAGGATCCGAGTTTGGAGCCACGTGGTGGTGGCGCACACCTTTGATCCCAGCACTTGGGAGGCAGAGGCAGGCAGATCTCTGTGAGTTTGAGGCCAGCCTGGTTTACAGAGCGAGTTCCAGAGCAGCAGCCAGGGCTACAGAGAAACCCCGTTTCAGGAAGAAAAAAAAAAAAAAAAAAAAAAAGAATCCAAGTTTGTTCCCAGTACCCATGTCATGAGGCTCACAACCCCCTGAAAGGTCACCTTCAAGAGATCTGATGCCCTTTCTCGACCTCCTGGGCATGCACATGGGCACATACACGCGCACAGACACACATACGCATTGTTGGGACTAATAATTTAGAAATAACTCCCACAACAACAAAACCTGTGTAGGACTCCTGAATGCCTCGGGCCTCCCGGCCCCTCTGCTGAGGAATGTGACCCTAGAAGAGCTGCATGGGGAGGTGGCCCAGAGTCCACACAGGCAGCAGCCCGCCCGGGCCCACACAGCGGGGCTGAGCCTGGGTTTGCAAGCTCCCTATTAGCAGCTTAGAGCCGCAGGGGTGTGCTGAGTGCCAGCCCGGTGCCCGACTCAGAGGCACTTCACCGGGCTGCAGAGGCCCTGGGGGCTTCTCAAAAGTAAGCTGCATGGTGACTGCTTTCTGCGCCATATAAACAAAATCCCAAATTGGAAACGTGAGAGAAAATAGAGTATGAAAATTCTCTACTTAAAATGGCAATTCTTTTGTGGTTTTATGCATTCTTTTTCCCATTCCATCAATTATTTAATACATCTTTATGATACATGGAAGTAATTGGCCTGATTCAAAATTAAAACTGGGAAAAATACATATGTGGGCCAAATAGTGGTGTGTTTTCTCCACTAGTGGTCCTTTAGGGAAGGGATGAACTCGATACCCACTCAACCTGGGTCTGAGTGGAGTCCCCCAGTCAGCTAAGCTAATGACTTCCCGGCAGCCGCTGCCCTGCACTTAAGTACATCACTTCACTCAAATCTATGAAGACACTGAGGAAAATTGGGGGGAGGGGGGAGAGAGGATTTTTTAAATTATTTATTTCTATGGATATTTTGCCTGCATGTATGCCTGTGCACTGTGTGTGTATCTGGTGCCAGAGCAGGCCAGAAGAGGACTTTAAACCCCCTGGAACTGAGTTACAGACAGCCATGAGCTGCCATGTGGGTGCTGGGAATTGAACCCGGGTCCTCTGGAGGAAAAGCCAGTGCTCTTAACTGCTGAGTCATCTCTCCTGTCCCCTTTAAGATTTATTTTTATTCATGTGTATGTGTGTGAGAATGTATACCATGTGTGTGCAGGTGCTCACAACGGCCAGAAGAGGGCATCAGATCCCCCGGAGCTGGAGCTAGGGGTGGCTGTGAGATGCCTGATGTGCGCTGGGAACTGAACTCAGATCCTTTGCGAGAGCAGCAAACAGACTCAACTGCAGAGCCATCTCCCCAGCCTCTGTTTTTAAAGATTTATTTTTGATTTATGTGGATGTGTGTGGGTGTGTGCCTATGAGGCCAGAAGAGGGCACCAAATCCTCTAGCACTGAAGTTACAGGTGGTTTGAACCACACATCATGAGTGCTGGGAACTGAACTCAGGTCCTCTACAGGTGTTCCTAACCACTGAGCCATCTCTGCAGCTCCTGAGAATTTTGTTGGTTTGTAGTTGTGGTTTTTTTTTTTTTTTTAGGTTTTTCAAGACAGGGTTTCTCTGTGTAGTTGTGCGCCTTTCCTGGAACTCACGTTGTAGACCAAGCTGGCCTCGAACTCAGAGATCCACCTGCCTCTGCCTCCTGAGTGCTGGGATTAAGGTGTGTGCCACCACTGCCTGGCTTGTAGTTTTGTTTTTTAAGACAAGGTCTCTCTCTATAGTCCTGGCTGGCCTGGAACTCACTGTGTAGACCAGGCTGGCCTCAAACTCACATTTATCCACCACACCCAGCCTCTTGAGAGTCCTTCACTTGTCTAGCCTTGAATCTTGCTGATCCCTGACAGGGTCTGAACTTACGCCCGAAGCTCCTGGGGGAGTCTGTGTTTGTGTTTCTTCTGTGATTTGGGCCTTGCTTGTCTTACTGCCAATTCTTTTCCACGTCTCATTTCTCCACAGACCTGACGCACACTTTCATAGAAACGAATTCAGCAGAACCTCGCAACAGCCCAGGAAGGTTGATCCCAAGGCCGTCACCTGAGCTCACAATCTGAAATAGGAAAGCACATAAGAGCATGGGCCTTTAATCCCAGCACTCAGGAGGCAGAGGCAGGTGGATTGATTTGAATATGAGGCCAGCCTGGTCTACAGAATGAGTTCCAGGCTAGCCAGGGCCACATAGTGAGACCTTATCTTGGGGGTGAGGGGAGAAAGTACACAAGGAATCAACCCCCTATGAGTTGGGGTACACTTATAACAACACACAGCAAGATGAAACCCATGACAATTCAGAGTCACCAGCTGCAACAAAGGCCGGGCACGGTGACCCCCCCTGTGGTCCCAGCACTCACTTCAAGGTCATCCCGCTACAGAACAAGTGTGAGTCAGGCCTGGGCCACCTGCCTCCCACTAAAGAAGAGGTGTGGTGGGTCAAAGGAGCTATTCCCAAACCGTGTGAAGTGTAAGCAGGGAGAGCAGAGAGAGGATGAGGAGGGAGAGGGAAGCGCTGTTCACAAGATTCCACGACTATTTCTAGCACCAACTTGACCAGGCACTAATCTTGACTCTTGGAACAAATGAGAACAGAGAAGAGGCTGTGGGTGAAGATCTTCCAGAACTGATCTGGGACAAGAATTCTCAATGTCAGGAAATAAATCCCAAGATAGACCAAATCCTCTTTGGACACACCAGATACACCTAATTAAGGTGGGGGGTGGCTTCTAAAAATCAGGAAGAAAACTCGGGTTTCCCACAAGCAGTGATGTCCGGACAGATGGCAGACTTCTCAGTAACTATAGAGATCAGAAGACAAGTCCTCACGGCCGCTGCGGTGCTGGGGTGGTGCCAGAGCTTGGAACATGCTAGGACACGCTCTACCACTGGACTATACCCCTAGCCCTTCACCGCTCTTACAGGGAGGTATCTGGAAACTCGGACCACCCCAAGCTAAGGAGACATTTGAGATTGAGTGTAACGTGAACAAATCCCCAGCCAAACCCTAGTTAGACAATTGTAGAAACATGGATCTAGAATGTGGTACTGAAATAAGGAATTATTTTTAGTGCTATAATATTGTAGTGAAATAAATGTCCTTTGAAAAAAAATCTATTATTTAAGGCCATCCAGCTCCTCAGCATCTTCATCCTGCTGGCAGGCTTTCCCTGTCTGTGTACCGTCTCTCTGCTTTCTCTTTAAACTCAGCCTCTGCAACCAGCTTCAACTTACACAGCCCTTGGCCTTCCCGTGTTCCACTGCTACGGAGGCCATGGCAGCTCCCAACAGCACCTGCTGCCTGCCTGATTCCCTGACAGGGAGCAGTCTTCACAGTGACTTTCTGTGGTTGGCAGGAGGCCTTTGCTCAGGTCCTGTTCTGTTCCTCTTCCCGGCTGAGTGTAGGGAGCTGGGCCCTGTGGTCCACGTCACTGTCTAACTGCCTTTGATTGCTTAGCGTTTGTCTAGAGGGTGAGCATGACTGAATCAGAGTGTGGAAGGCAGTTAGGTCCTTGTCTAGAGAAACTGTGATCATTCCTACCTTCCGCCTCCGTCTGTCCCTGTCCAGGACTGCTCCTGTCCTAGATGCCGACTGGAGAACCAGTAGGGCCAGCGCAGGCAGAGCTGAAAGCATTTCTCCTCCATTTCTTCTGAACATAATTTACCGGTAGGGTGGAACACTGGGTGACCTGATCCTTTGACTTTGCAATTCTTTCCGTTCATAGGTGTCAATCCAGAGCACAGAGAGTGTCAAGGAGAAACACTGAATTCACCGTTGTCTTCAACTCACCATGTGGACACTGCACCCTTGAATTTGTCATTTCTCTTAGCCAGGGTGAGGTTCCTGCCAGGGCACCGCTGTGTGCAAACTCTTCCTGTATGACAGACAGGGATTTCCTGGCATCTTCAGCACTGATGGATGGGACAGCACAGGCAGCCATGGTCCCTCCCCCCCATCACTCTGCTGCTCCAAGGCCAGTCGTTAATAAGGCAAAGGAGCCTGTGATGGTCCTGCAGCTGCTGCGGACCTCTTCTCAGCACAGTGAGACACTGTACACAGTGCACTGCCCGGTGCCCTGGAAGGTTCCAGTAAAGTCGAGAAAATGTACAGAGAAACTAATCTTGTACATGATGTTTTTCATGGAGGCTTAAGGATGCTGGCAAGGATGCAGGGAGGCAAACTCCCCACCTCCCTACATGGGACTGTAAACCTTGGGGACTCTTTGTTCCCTCATAGTAACGCATCTCATTTCTAAATTGGAGCTAATAGGATTTTGTGCCCAGGATTATTATATTGTTGATAATTTTCTGAAACACACGGTAACAACTAGTAAGCAAGAGAAACAGCAGGTTGCACCACATGGATTCTGGTAGCAACGTGTGCTGGGCGCACCTTCTCCAGTGGGCCTGGGAAGGCTTTGTTCTTTAGCTTCCCTGTGGTTAAATAGAGCTGCTGGTGCAGGGCCGCTTGCCTTGATCAGTGACTTCTGCTCGGCACCAGAAGAAAAGACAGACATGTTTTTATAATATAAGCATACTTTCTTTGTACACCGTGTTCATTCTTGAATAAAGTGAGCTCACTGTTGGCTTGTAGATGTTAAAAAGAAAGTATTGATTCCGATTCAATAAATGTTTTCTTTTTAAAAATTCTATTATTCTGTTTGTACGTGGGTGTTTTGTCTGCATGCATGTCTGTGCACTATCTGCATGCCCAGTGCCATCGGAGGCCAGAAGAGGGAGTCAGAGTCTCTGGGACTGGAGTTAGAAACGGTGGTGAGCCACCAAGTGGGAGCTGGGAACTGAACCTGGGTCTTCTGGAAGAGCAGGCAGTGCTCTTAACTGCTGAGCCATCTCTCCAGCCCCTAAGTAAATGTTCTTAAATTCAAAGACGAATACTTTAAAGTATTAGAGGGAGGCTGGTGGGCTGGATCAAAGGTTAAGAATATTTGCCCCTCTTCCAGACCACCTGAGTTCAGTTCCCAGCAACTGCATCTGGAGGCCCCCAACCCTACAGAAACCCAGGTTCTGGGGATCTCACTTTCTCTTCTGGCCTCCAAGGGTACCCATGCAGAGACACACACATACACACAACTTTAAAAAAAAAAAAATGAGGCAAGCTGGCGGTGTGTGATGGCGCATTTGAGAGGCTGAGGCAAGATAATCAGCTGAGTCCAAGAGCAAGGCCACCCTGGGGTGCGGCTCAGCGGTAGAGCGGTTATTCGGCAAGTGTAAGGCACTAGATCCAGCCTCTAGTACTGCCACAGGAGCACGAGGCTGGACAAGGGGCACATAAAGATCCTTCGCCAAAGCAGACAGAGGTGGGCTGGGGCGAGCTGAGCTGGTCGACGGCTTGTCTAGCATGCATCCCAGCACTGCATAAACCAGTGTGATAGAGCAGTCCCAGCACTCGGGACACAGAAGGGAGGATCATGAGTTCAAGGTCATCCTTTGCTACACAGCAAGTCTGCAGTCAGCCTGAGTTAAACGAAACTCTTGTTAAAAAAAAAAAAAAAAAGTGAAGCTGGGCGGTGGTGGTGCACGCCTTTAATCCCAGCACTCGGGAGGCAGAGCCAGGTGGATCTCTGTGAGTTCGAGGCCAGCCTGGTCTACAGAGTGAGATCCAGGGCAGGCACCAAAGCTACACAGAGAAACCCTGTCTGAAAAACCAAAAAAAAAAAAAGTAAGAGGCAGTTAAAGTGGATCAGTGGGTAGAAGAGTTTGCTTTGCAAGGCTGGCAATTGGATTTCGATCCCTGGAACCTGTGTAAGAAGACAGATGTGGTGGCACACATCTGTAATCCCAGCATTCCTATGGAAAAATGGAAGGTCTTGGGAGACGGCTCAGAAGCTCTCAGGCCAGCTAGCCTGGGGTACCAGTGTGGCAAAAACAAGAGAGACATCACCTCAACAAGGTGACAGGAGAGAACCAACTCCCCAATGCTGTCCCGACGTCCACACATGCTGTGACACGCAGGTGTCTGTTGTCACACATACATCACACACATTCACATACAATAATCACGAAAGAGAAAGAGACAAGGAGAGCAACCAGTGGGTCTGAGGACCTGAGTTCAATCCCCAGGGCCCACACGGCAAGGAGGTACAGAGCCCTGCAAGTGGTCCTCTGACCACCACAGACATGCTGTGGTACCCACACCCCAACACACACAAGCACTAGATATATAAAAATGTAATTTAAAAAATTGAGATGAGGCTTACGTACATTTTATTTTAATTTGTGTGTGTGGGTGTGTGTATAATGAATGAATATCTCCCAGAACAGAAGTTACATGTAGCTATGAGTGGCCAGGTGTGGATACTGAGACCTGAACTCAGGTCCTCTGGAAGAATAGCAAATGCTCTTAACTGCTGATCTCTCGAGCTACCACTGTTACTTACAAAATAAATAAATAAAAATAAATAAATTATTATATCATGTCATTCACAATTAAAATGAAAAAGTTTAATGTCTTTAATCCTAGCATTTGGAGGAAGAAGCAGGCAGATCTTTGAGTTTGAGAACAGCCTGGGCTACATAGCAAGCTCTGGTCCAGCCTGGGCTATATAGTGAGAACCTCTCTAAAAAAATTAAAAAACAAACAAACAAACAAAAAAAAAAACCCCACCGTTTTTGGCCTAAGCATGAATGTGGGACACAGACAGACAGATATACAGACAAAACATCTACACGTAAGATGAATTTTTTAATTAAATTAAATAAATAGGCTATTTTCAGAGATAATAGGCTATTTTCAAAGCCAGGCACCAGAGTGCATGCCTGTAATCCAAGCACTAAGGAGGTTGAGGTAGGAGGATCATAAACGGGAGGCCAACCTGGGCAACGCAGTGAGACCCTGTCCCAAGAGGATCTGTACTTAGGGGCTGAGATTCCCCAGTAAAGTGTAAACCATGAAAACATGAGGAACTGAGTTCAGCACCCATGCAAAAAAGATGTCAGCTACCCCATGCACCTGTAATCCCAGCACTGGGAAGGCAGAGTCGGGAGAGTCCCCAGGGCTCACAGGCCAGCTGCTCTAGCCTAATCCGCGAGGTTCACTGAGAGATCCTCTTTCAAAAAAATAAGGTGGCAAAGCCAGGAGGTAGTAGCGCACGCCTTTAATCCCAGCACTCGGGAGGCAGAGGCAGGTGGATCTCTGAGTTCAAGGCCAGCCTGGTCTACAGAGTGAGATCCAGGACAGTCAAG